ACACATACACATACACATTCAAAAGACACATACATACACATTCAAAAGACACATTAAAGAAACATTTTTTCAAAAATACAACACAACATTCAAAAGACAATAATACTTAATCCTTCTATGAAAAAGACACATTATATATATATATAAGATAAACAAATTGTATATATATATATATATATATATATATATATATATATATATATATATTTTTTTTTTTTTTTTTTTTTTTAATGTTTGTGACAGTACTTCCAAATGTTTACAGTTAATATCAAAATATGATTCTCTTCCACAATTGGAGAGGTACTATTTAAAGGAGGGACTGCCAGTACTAAGATCTTCATTTTGAAACTTCCATTCAGGGAATTAGCAGTCACAATATTAAACCAGAAAATCTTGATTTAAATATTTATAAAAAAGAACAAAAGACAACTTTATTTTAAAGTAGATTTTCTTGTTATTAAAATGATTTTTATAAATAACATAGCACATGAATTTAAAACTGAAAATAAACAGCTGATCTCAAAGAGTCTCATGAATTCTTCCTGTGTTAGCCTCTAGACTTGACTGAACAGTAAGCTGTTTAACATAATTTATAAAGAATGCTGTGTTGAATTCATAAAGTGTTTATTTTAATTTTTTTTTTTATATCTAAACTTAATTTGTAGTTGCGGCTGCAAATTCTCAGATGTTAGTCCTTTTGGAGTAGGCAAGAAAAAAAAACTTTTTTCTTCTTTTAATTGACACAGTTAATTAAGTTAAATTTTTAATTCTAAAATTACAAGACTGTTAATCAAGTAATGAAAGTAAATTTGCTCAAAAAAGTCTGGACAGTAGCCAGCCATTTTGAATAACTATCTGGCCATTTTGAATAACTCCTGAGACAATTATACAGCCTTAAGAGACTTGGGTAACTAATCAGAAGTGACCTTAATGCATGCACACACTCCCATTGGGTTACTCTGTCAGCAGTGTGATGTTATTGAGCGAGCTTGTGTATTTTGTGATCATCCTATGCATCATGACAATGTGTCTGACCATTTTTTGTGTCTCAGTGTAGGAACTTTTTGAAAATCATGTTTTCACTGAGGTCTGAAAGTCCCCTTACACTGTGCAGTCAAGATTTTTATACCTTTTAGTTTGAAAGGGAAAATGTTTCAGACCATGGATGAGATTAGGCAGAATATAATAAAACAACCAATGGTGGCCCTGAAAAATAACTTTGAAAATCAGAAGGATACTGAAATAAGGATTTAAGAGAAATATTTTGAAAGGGACTTGGATGGCTATTTTTCTGTTAATATTGATCAGATACTTTCTGTATTGTATCTATACTCATAGTAATCCCTGCTCCAAGTAGATGTTTTGATTTATATTATATAGTGATATTAGTTATCTGTTAAATTTCTTCAATGAAGCATTGTCATTATTATTAAATCTTCACTAATTTGCTTATGATCATATCATGTTGAAACACTGGTTCTTGTATGACGACTGAATTTAAGTAACATTGAGCCTGGTACCTAGATGGGTAACTGCTAGGAATACCATGTGCTGTAAGTCAGGATTTGATAAAGATTTTTCATTTATAATGTGTCCCCCACATGCTGATATATAAATAGTATAAAAAAAAAAAAAAAAACTTTTTTTTTTTTTTTTTCCATGCTTTTACAATTCAAAGAATTAACTTATTTTGTTTGATATCTTAGATTATATGCTTGTGTGTGTGTGTGTATATATATATATATATATATATATATATATATATAAGTGAACATTGAAGTCAACTCAGAGGTGACAGGCTGTTTCATGATAGATGCAATTGTCAGGCTGACTTCAATGTTCACTTTTATATTTACATACGTTGTATCCCTGATATTGAGCACTTTATTCCATAAATATAGCACACCTTAATACTATATATTTCATTATTTTTATATATATATATATATATATATATATATATATATATAATGTGTGTGTATATATAATATCATATTATAAAAAGTTATTGTTCAGTTGAATTAGACCAGGAAACAATAGTATGTGATCAATACATGTATAAATAAAATAAAAATTTAACATGCAGAGCTTTTGCGTGTTTATTCATTTTTGAATAATAATGTGTTAGGAAATTATTTAGTCCGAATTGCCTGAAGATACCAAAAGGTTGAAACCAAGCTAGTGTGATCAGCTGATCTTTTAATTTTTTAAAATATATATAGAAACTAATAGGTTAAATTTTAAATCCACCAGATGTTAAAATTCCGTTATGAAAAAGATAAAAAAATTTCTGACCACAGCATCTAATAAGAATTTTTATTAGCTCTTTATATTTCAATACACTTTTCTCATATATGAGTTTGTCTCTTCTTATTCCAACTTAAGGACTCAGAAACACAGTTACATACCTTTCTCACTTTGTCTCATTATCATATATCTCGTTTTACTGGAGAATTTGTCATGAATCTGTCAATGTTATACATATTTCTAGTTTATTTTT